CGCCACACGATCAGGAAGCTAGGCTTATTCTTATCCGACCACTTGAGGTTTCCTTTCTTCCGTAGTTCCTCTAATACAACCTGGATTGACTCTACAGGAAGTTTCCGCTGTAGCTTGACGTCGTTGAAGAGCGGGCTCTCCTGGGCTTCCATCACCGTCATGCTAGACTGTTTGTGCAGGTGACAGAAAGACAGAACCGGAGAGCACCAGGCGGCCAGCTGCTTCCGCCGAGTGTCCACTTTCGGCTGTAATGTAAAGATGGGCAGGAAGCGGTACTGCCACGGCCACTCAAAATTCATCACCATCTTAGTCAAAGATACTTTCTTAATAAATAAGGGAGACAGACATTCCTGAGGCTTGACATCCAAGGTTGTCCTCCTGGCCTCCACATCTGCATGCACACATACTCAAGATACTTTCATAGTATTTGAGATCAGAAATTAAAGATATGAAAAAATTCAGTCAAGACTGAAGTATACTGGCCTTGCTATCAGTGTGAATTCATCACTCAGCTTCATCGAGATTTCTGAGCGATTGAGGAACTGTCTCCTTGAATTAGCCTTGGTTTATGTTTCTGTAGTCACATTATTATTATTTTTGCAAAATTTATGTTAGGAGGTTTTCTTGTACTCAATTTGTTATTTTATACTTAGTATTTTATTATTTTGTACTTAATAGATTAGGCTAATATCTTATTACATGAAATTATAAAATAAAATTCTCAATTATTGAAGAGATGACAGAGGACCTACGTTTGCTTCTAAGCACCCAAGTTGGGCAGCTCACAACCATGTGTAATTCCAGTGCCAAGGAACCTAGTTTCCTGTTCTCATCTCCGAAGGCGCCTGTACACATATGGCATTCACTTATACTGTCAAGCACACTTGAATAGAAACACTCATCTTTGTTCTGACAGTTATTTTTCCTGTGTTTTGGATACATGGATTTTCTATTAATAGATTTTTTTTTCTCTTTCACCCTTCACAATATATTTCAAAGCTATTTGGTGGCAGAGGTGCTGCCAAGCACAGGGTTGACCCTTGGTGTTTAAACTCTGAGTCTGGACAGTTACATGATATGGAGCCACCATTATCCTATCATGAGATTTTCTTTTCCTTAAAGTCCTCTGTACCGCCTATTCATCACCTCCACCCATGCAAAGCCACCTTAAAATGAGATAAATCATACCTACTTCAGACTTATTTCCTTTTTAATATTTCTGCTGTTCTTCAAATAGGATCAGAAGTGTTCTAACTATTGTAGCTAGGCATAGCTATGTCTTTTGATTACTTGAGCTCTGAACAGTTGGGGGTTTAAAGGTTTTGGTATTTTGCATTTTGCTAGCTAGATAGGCAACCTATCTTACAAATGTAGAATTAAATGAAGGGCCATTTTCCATATCTGGCTGTCTTAGTTGCTTTGTCCTGCTGTGATAGGATATCTAAGACTGGGTCATTCATAAAGTTCTTTTTCTAGTTCTGGTGGATGAGAGAGGCCATATCAAAATGCCACCATCCCTAGCTGTCTGTCTGTTGAGGGCTGTTCTGCTTCTGAGATGGTGCCTGGCCATGTTCCCCAAAGGAGAGGAATGCTGTTTCTGCATGTAGCAAAATGATAGAAGACAAAAGGGAATAAGTTTCTTATGTCAAGCAAGCAAGCTTTTTTATGAGGACGTTCATCCATCCATCCATGAAGGCAAGTCCTTATGACAAATACTTTTCGTAAAGTCCTGTCTCCTAATGCTGATGAGTTGAGAGTTTGCAGTACGTAGATGTGGAGGGACTCAGAACAAAACACTGCTTTTGCATCATATTGCTTTGAGCCTGGCTTGGTGACAACTATCAGTTTGGGTCTAATAGAGAAATAAATTTTTATAGTGATTGAAAACATGGGAGGTTTTTAGTAATTTTTAAAGTTACAAACAAAAGATGTGAGAGAACTCTTACTTGGTAAGCTAGAGCTGAAGAAAGACAAACTTGGAAAAGATGAGAGCAAATTAGAATTAAGACCTTACTGAAGTACCTGGAGTCCACTAGATGGCAGATGGAGGTACTCTTGGCTACATCAGATCTCATTGTTAGTCACTAGGTGAACAGCCATTCTCCACGGCACAGAAAAGTTGTTGATGTATCTAGTTTCTTTTCCCGTTGCTGTCATAAAACAGTCTCAGGGAGGAAGGTTTCTATTAGTTCAGAGTTCAGTGTAGCATTCCATCATGGACAGAAGTCAAGGCAGCAGGAAGTTGAAGCATCCAGTCACATTGTATCCCACGGTCAGAAGTCCGAGAGCCCTGAATGCATGCTGCTGCTGCTGAGCTGTCTTCTTTCATTCGGTCTATCCTCCTCTGTTTAAAATGAAGATAATCTCCCACAGCATGCTCAGAAGTCCATTTCTCAGTTTCTAGATCCTGTTGAGTTGACAGTACTTACCATCACAGTGAGTGAGTGGGCATGCAGAGAATCATGGAGAGTGGATTGCCCAGCCTGGCATTGGAAGTCATTAAGGACAGCATATTCTGGCATAGAGATTGGGACAGAGTGCTGTCACATGTCTTAATACTACACTCCCTTTACTGATAGTGCAGTTGCCGGAAATCAATAGGAAAAGGCCCTTCAGGATAAATTTGCACTGAAGGACCTTAGAATGTTCACTGTACAGTTGTTGATCAGGTTCTAGACGGGCATTGCTGGGAGGAGAAACAAAACACCTTAGCTTTCCACTCTTGCCTTCCTTGTTATGCAACATAATATTTAAGAATAAGTAATAATAAAACTATCAGGTTACTTATTAAAACCAAAGAACAGTGAAAATGTTTGAGCTAGCGTTTCCAAACACTAACGAATCTGATAACTTCATAAGAGAAAGTAATTCATGAGATAGAAATCTGGACCTATGGCAAGAATGCTGGAGTTGTTTTTGGTGATTGGGGCCTAGATTGCGTGATTCCATATTCTTCTCCTCTTACTCAAATAATTGAAAATATGGGTTTATACATATTTGCAAAGGGAGCTAGGTAATTTTCTTGGAGGTAAGTGATAGTACAGATTAAAGAAGGACACACTGTAAAAACTGATAGCAAGCCACAGGAGTGAATACTCAAGAGCCCCAATTACTATTTAAAGCTTTTATGGAGCTCAAGAAGAAAAGTTGGTTAATAGGGGACATAGTTTGGGTGGTTCTCTGTTTTGATCAGGTTATATAGTCATTTCTGTACTGTGTATGTACCCATAATGCATCTGATTTTAATCATATGCATGCCCAGTTATGCACAGGCATATGATAAATAGAGGATTCTTCCTAATTGGTTACTAATGGAAACAGTTTTTCTTTTGACTGCTCTTGCACCCCCAACAGTAGAGGTTGAATTGGCCCTTCTAGTCTGCATACCTGGATACCTTAGGACTACACTTGAATGCTCTAAATTTGATTATTTCCAGGGGTGGCAAAACTACCATTTGTTCAAAGAAGATAGTGTGTGTAGCCTGATACAGGTCAGGGGTTGAGGGGGTTCCAAGGTTGCTAAGTGCATGCCTGGAAAGGAATGTGTGTGCGTATACATATAAGTGAAGGAACTAGTGTATATAAGAGGAGGGTTGTGCATAACCCAAAATCAAATGGGGTTCCCAGAGTACCAAACTGTCTCCCCTGCTTGCCTACCTCGGAGTTACATGAGTGTTTTCCTTAAACAAAACACCACGTACAATATAAAGCATTCCTTTTATTAAGGTGACCTTTTAACTTTTCCATAACTGTTTCTAGAAATAGAAAATTCTCTATAATTGAAATTCTTTGTTCCTTATTCTTGCTTCAGTTAAGCTATGGTTTGCTTGTCTATGCCATCTATAGATCATTTATAATTTTACCTTTCAAGATGAACCTCATATACATTTCAGTCTTCCTAATATTAACATGTAATGTTAAGGTTAAATATATAGTTTCTAAATTATTTCATGGGATGAAGTTTTGTTATATCACTTTTTTTTCTGGTTGCTTTCTATCTTTCAGTGTTGTGGGTTTTGTTTGAAATGCAGCACCAAACGTCTAAGATGTAGTAGAATGAAGTAGATTCTGAAATTGATTCTTAAATAGTTTGTTACTGTGCCAGATGGGGGATGTCTGAGGAGCGAGGGAAGTATAGGGTAAGAGGTGCCAACAAATAAGGTGTGTGAATTCCAGACTAGCTTGGCTATATAGCTAGACCCTGAATTTAAAAGGTGGTAAAGATACAAGTTTAAACAGCTAAATCACCTGGGAGTTCATCCAGAGTGAGATGCATGAGCTGATCTAGGTGATGAAACTTGGGTTTTCCATAAAGGAATTGGGCAAAAGTGCATTTATTCTTGATAAAGGTCATATTTGCAAAGATCTGAACAAAGTCCAGTACAAATCCAGTGGTAAAAAGGTTATGTTCTGAGTTATATGGGATAGAATTTGGACTTCTCAACCAGGTAGATTCTGTTATGATTCCATTATTTACAAGCCCTTAGTTGTATACAAGTGAACTTGATCTTCCTTGAACTTTCTCTTGGTGGTGATGGGGGATGAACCCAGGATCTTATTTGTGCTAGGCAGGTTCTGTACTACTGAGATTTTTCCATGGCTCCTTTACTCCTTGTAGTTTTAAGGGTAAATGAGAAAAGGTATGGCTGAGTACTTGTGTTCTCAGCAAATACTAGCTGCTATGGTGTTGATAATTTAGTTAAGGGAGGCACTAGGAATAAGACAAGGCTACTTCTACCCTTGTGCCTCCCTGCTCTATTCTCCACCAAGAACATATTCATTACAAATGTTACATGATAGTGCACCTCTTCTCAAGTTGATACTTTCCTATCATAGTAAAGTATAAGTTCCTAACTTATCGTAAAACTCCTTTGTAACATGGCAACAACTCTTGTCTCATCTCCTCAAACCAGAACATTTTCTTACACTCCATTTACTTTGAGATTCGACCACTTAGCCTTAACCTTTATAATAACTACATCTGTGCTCTCTCCTCCAGGTCTTTGCCCCGTTCTCTCCATCCGGATAAACTTACTCCATGTTTGCTGTCATCAGATGTCTGCTCGGGGCCCACCCTGACCAAACAGCCTTTTGTATTTGTCATTTGTCCTCGTCTTCACTTGATGCTGATAGCAGGGGCTGTATCTCATCCATTGACTAGTTCTTAGCAGTAAATGTCCTGTGAGTATGTGTTTACTGAAGAGCAGAAGCAGAAAGGATGGCTTGAACATCCAGTTGAGACAGCTGTGTATTCTGCCAATTTTGTATTGTGTAGGCAAAGGGGGATTGGAATTTTTGGTGCATCTTACTGTGTTTTCTTTCTCTCTAGGAGCTAGTGTCTTGCAAATGATAACCATGGCTGTGTACTATGTTCATTTCTTATTAGATAGTAATTCATTACTATTAGATAGTAATACAAGTTGGACTTTTGCAATCTTTTTATTTTTGTTTAGGGACAAAACAGACCTTTTTTTTGTTTTGTTTTGTTTTTTGTTTTTTGTTTTTTTGTATTTTTGAGACAGGGTTTCTCTGTGTAGCTTTGCGCCTTTCCTGGAACTCGCTTTGGAGACCAGGCTGGCCTCGAACTCACAGAGATCCGCCTGCCTCTGCCTCCCGAGTGCTGGGATTAAAGGCGTGTGCCACCACCGCCTGGCACTGTTGTTGGGTTTTATACAGCACATCAGAAAAGAATAGTTTATATGATTTATATTATCTTTTTTTGATTTTTCAAGGCAGGGTTTCTCTGTGTAGCCCTTGCTGTTCTGGACCTTTCTCTGCAGGCCAGCTAGCCTTGAATTCAGAGATCTGCCTGTCTGTCTCCCAAATGCTAGGATTAAAAGTGTGTGCCACCATGCCCAGCTAAATAATGTTTTTTAAATGGTTGAATAAAAAGTTAAAGTAGGAAATGGAAACAATTTAAAAGCCCTTCAATGAATGACTGGATAATGAAAATGTGGTACATATATACAATGGAATAGTATTCTGCTGTGAAGAAAAGAAGATATCATGAAATTTGCAGGTACATGGATGGACCTAGAAAAGGTTATGTGTGGGGTGGCTACCAACTAACCCCACAGTTCCCCAGAGATTTTTTGAGTGAGAGTAGCAGAAAACATTAGATAGAAGGATTTAGAATGTGAAGATAAACAGATAGAAAATTACAGGATAGCCTTGAGAGGGCCTAGAACCTACTCCAATGGGCCCTGACTGTTTCTGCCCGAGGGTATTTATAGAAATGCCAAGGGGTGGAGCAAAAGACCTTCCCCCAGCACAGCCAAGTGCAGACTATCTCAGATACCTGCACTCAGGCCTGTGGTCAAATCATCCTCTCTATGCAGACCTGCTGGGTAAATCCACTAGGAACCTGAAAATGAGCTCCCACAGTTATGTTGAGTGAGATAACCCAGACCCAGAAAGGTAAATGATGAATATTCTCATCTCAGCTCCAAGTCTTCAGATGTGAGTTTATTACATGAAGTAACTGCAGAAACCAGGAAATTATAAAGAGATTGGGGGCTTGAGAGAATACAGACCTTAGGAGGAGCTGGAGGGAGAAAAGGGAAGGAGGAAAGTGATATGATTATATTTTGACTAAGTAGGTTAACAAAGGCTAATGGGGTCCAGCCCTTCTATAGTCTTTTCTCAGAGTTCCAGAAGAGACACTACCAGTGATGGATCAATTAATTTGAGGGATTCTCGAATAAATCTACATACATGAAACTCTTTAGTCCATACACTTTATTCTTCTGAGTCAGTTCTCTCTCTACATAGCTCCTATTCTGCACTCTTCCTTAGCTCCTTTCTTGCCTGATTTCTTACTACATTTTTCTGCTTTTTCTGCTGTTCTTTCTAAGTTCTATCTCAAATCTCTTGTAGATGTAACCAACTGTCTTATTAAATAAGAAGCATAGAACCAATGTAAAAGAGAAAGCCAAGAGGTCAGAGCTCAGAGCTTACCCTTCCTCCTGCGGTGGTCCTATCTCTCCGAAAGGGACCTACTTCCTGTGTGTTTGTCTTGATATAGTCTTTCTGTTCTGCCTTCTCATTGGTTGTAAACCCAAACATGTGACTGCCTCATCACTGCCTGTATGTACAGCCCTCCAGGTCTTAAAGGCATGTGTCTCCAATGCTGGCTATATTCCTGAACACACAGAGACTTACCTAGCCCTGCCTACCAAGTGCTGGGATTGCAAATGTACGCCACCACCGCCCTGCTTTCCTATGGCTTGCAAATAGCTCTGACCCCCGGGCAACTTTATTTATTAACATACAATTAAAATCACATTTCAGTACAAATAAAATACCACCATATTCTCTCATCTAGTTCTTCCCCATCTAGTTCTTTCCCATCTAGTTCTTTTCCATCTAGTTCTTCCTCATCTTGTTCTTCCCCATCTTCCATCTCATTCTTCTAGTTCTCTTTTAGTCTCTGTCTTCTAGTTTTCCCTAGTTCTCTGAGGTATTCAGTTATATATCCATACAAAGCAGCAATTCTCTCACCAAGGCAAGGTCACACAGGCTTGAATTCTTACAGGGTCAAACAGAGAGGAGATAAGATCTTCCCAAAGAGCAGTAATTGTCAATTATCCTTTACAGCCCAAAGGGGAAGTGACTAATGGGGAACAGAGTCAACTGAGGGCTTAATCCAGTCAAGAGATGGAAAAAGGGAATTCATGTGCTCAAACTATATTCTTAGAAGTGATAAGAGTTAGTTATGAGGAGCCCATGAGTCACTAAATCATGAGTGAAAATAAAACTGCCTTTTCTTTCCTTTGGAGCCATATCTGTCTTGGCTGTGTTATTTTCTGGGAGGGTAGAGGAAGTGTACTCAGTAGCTAGGCAACCTGAGTCACAGCTTGATGTACCTGGTAAGTAAAAACCCTTTAGTTCTGAGTTAAGAGATCTAGAGTTAGAGATAACACTTGGAGGAGAGGAGGGTTAAGCTTAATTAGCACATCTGCCAGTCCTAGGCAGTAGTCTCAGTGGATGCTTATCTAAATTGCAGTCTGTTCTCTGAAAGTCTTGGAAATATCTCAGATAAGATGCTTTTGTATGGAGAAGGTCCTGGTCGGGTGTTGCTAATGACAATAATTACAGAAAGGCCTGAAATTAGGGGTCTGGCTCTGTGACTGCTTTTAGCACAGTTCGGAGATGTATCCAAATACTTTAATTGTATAGGGGAAATTGTTCCCAATGAATAATCAAACACACTGTTCTAGGAATGGAAAAGCTAAAATAGCACCTGAGAAATTCATAGCAGGAAATGGCCAATATTCAAAAACCAATATTACCAAGACTCCTTAAACCTTGGCTTTGTCCTCTGGAAAGGCCCTTGGCTTCTTCCAGGTTTAGCTTTGTCAGAGTCAGCTGACTTCCTACTTCATATTCTTGCAGCTGACAGCAGCAGGAAATAACTCCACTATTATATATATATAATAGTAATATATATATTACTGTTTGCCTCAGGCTGACATGCTCCCATAAGAGCCTTAATTAATCTAACAAAAACTCCAGTACCAGATAGGGGGAACCTCTGTTTGAGTTAGTGGTCAGGGGACTCCAAGAGACTCCCAAAACTATATAGGATCTTGCTGTTGCCCTTGGCTGCCTCCCAAAGGTTGAAGGCAAGTCCTTATTGCTCAAGACATTGTACACCTACGACACAGGACTTGGATGGTTCAAGCTGCATCTAACTGGGAAGCCTTCTTCTTGTAGCCTAATTCCATAGTACCAGAAAGTACCATGCAAGCTACCAAGGAGGGAAGCAATCAGTAGTCAGCCATGATGCTTATAAACCCCAATACTGACCAGTGAGTCAAGACATCCCTAATGATACAATAATGATACTCATATGTTGGCAGTAACCAACAGCTGATCAATTAGACTTAAGGCCCACTCAATAGGAGGGAAATCATGCCTTGTGCTAGAAACCAACATCCCAGGGCTAGTGAGGTCATGGATTTTAGAAGAGAACATACTACTGCCACTTTATTAAATCAATGCAATTCTTAACTACAGTCTAAATATTTTTATCCTTATACCACAAATAAGTTTAGCTCTTACCCCTTATCAAAGAAACCTCTTTACAGCAGGCAGAGACCATAACAGAAAACCACAACTGGACATAATGCAGAGATTTATGGATTATGGGTAGTCCAGCCCAAACTAATACACCTACAACACAACTCCAGCACCTATGGTTGAGGAAACTTTGTAGAAGAAGGAGCAGATTGTGAGAGCCGGAGGACCAGATGTATTCTGCAAGACTGTATCCCAGAAATGGCTGCCTAAACAATACCTGAACAATGACAGTATCAATAGACATGGTAATGTGGAAGGGGAAATCCTCATGGGGTACACCCCTAGATAAATCTCCTTAGGCAACAAATGATAGTTGAGAGATGGAAAGTTAGTCTCTCCCAGGAATGGTGCCCTTAATTGGCTACATAAAACAAAGTGGTCAGCTCTGAAACAATATGCACACAAACAACAAAAATAGCCTCAGCTGTTATATTTACACACACACACACACACACACAAAAACATACACACCACATGTACATATATATCTATATGTGCATATATATGTGCGTGCGTGTGTGTGTGTGTGTGTGTGTGTGTGTGTGTGTGTGTGTGTATGAGTTAGCACGACCTCTCCAATCCTGCATAGTTCCAACAGAAACCACATATTGTGCTGTTGTCTCAACTTGCTGCTGAACACTGCACATGACAGGGCTTTGTCTAACTTCAGTGCTGATAAATTTTGAGTTCTCTTTCTTCCCTTTTGTATGTGACCACTCAGATAATTCATCTTTCTTCTGTGGGTAGAGCATCTGTCCTCATTAGGGCTCCTCATCTCACCCACTGTTCTCTTCCTCATGCTGACTGTGCTCACATAGAAATACGTAATTTAGGTTTGCTGTTAATATTAATGTCTCTCCTATTTGTGTGCACGTGGCGTGCATTCTACTTGTGCTTTCACGTTACTGCTGCAGGTATCAACACTTTGTATATTTTTTTCTTATCTTTAGAGTATCATTTTGAATTTATGAACTTTTTTATGGGTTCAATTTATTCCATTTAACTACAAGGTAAGTGTAATATCCAGAGATCAGATTGTCAAAATCTTCCAGATCCCTGGAAGGATGAATGGAGAATGATGCAGGCTATCTATGTTAGTA